GGGTTTAGAGCTTAGGGCTCATAGTGTTCAGGGAGTTGCGAGAAACAACAGCCACAAGCACGTACAACCCAGTGAGACTGAGAATAATAGGGGCATGAAAGCGAAACTTATCCACACCATACACTAATCACATGGCCCGCCTAAATCCTATAATCAACTTAACCCTAGCACCTTAACGCCCCAAGGTGGAAGACCAAAGTCGTTTGCGCTGATGTCTTCCGAGTCAAGACAGCTCCACTTTGGGAGCCCCCGGCCACGCAGAGCTCTATGGGAAATCGGGGCCTTAATAATTAGAAAATTGTTTTGGGATATATTCTATTATACTTATAATAAGGAAACTCCAGAATATTCTAGGTATTATTTAGAGATATTAGGGTCTTGCATTATCAACTTCTGGTTCAAGCTCTTGACTGAGAACTAGCAGACAGGACCACGTATCGCCTCGGGTTCGGGGCTTTGGGTTGGCTAGGCTTAGAGTATGGTTATCACTGGCATTGCTGTTCTCATTGCTGTTCTGGATGGGGAGAACCAATAAGAAATCTGCTAGCACAATACTAGTTCATGGTTGGGATAGGATTGAAAATGTACTTTTTTATCCCATAAAAATGAAACATGTTATCCAACTATGACAAAAATAGTTAGTAGGACCATGGCTTGAAGGCATCCAAGGATGCGGATTTCTTCTACTCACAAGGCGTCGCATAGCTCAGGTCTGGAATGATGCTTGGATTTGGGGCTTAAGTTTTGAGGAGTCCTGCTAGAAGCCCCGGGTAGTGCGGGATCCTGTCTCAAAGCCCTGCATAAGAAATCCAATTTTTTAAAGGTTCCCGGATTCCCGAAAACATCAGAAGCCTGTTCAACCATGGTACTCTCAAACCCTTTGTTTTGGTGCCACGAAACAGGAAACATAAGTATAATAAGGAACCCCCAATATAGTACAGGTAATTACTTAGGCCCTATATTACACTGTAACTACCCAGACCTTCCAAAATCCCTTAATTGAGGAATATACCTTAATTCATATCTGGGATCCTATTATAATTTAAGGTATATTCCTTAATTAAGGGATTTTGGAAGGTCTGGGTATGTTACTCTCAAAGCCCTAGAGCTCTGCTTGGCGCTTGGTCTGTCAACCCGCTGCGTCCGGCGCTGGCTCCAGGCCGAAGATGGAGCCGGCCTCCAACAAAAAGCGGAGACTTGGGTACTTGGAGGATCATGGGACTTAGTAAGTAAGGTTGTAAGTACCTTAATTGGGGTTATAAGTATAGTTGCCCTAAGTATAACCCTACTTGCTAAGTCCCATGATCCTTTTAAGTACTGCCCCCATACAGTCAGAGTCTATAATAGGGCTACTGTTAGGGTCCCAATATATCTATATAATTGATCTTATTCAACTATTACTGAGTCGGGGGCCGTACCCAAGCGGAGACTAAATAATGTCGGGCCCTTATTATGAGGAATTTGGGTTCTATGATTCCGAGAAAAGGGCGGAGACTAAAGAGTATCATAATGGGACTACTAGTAAGCATAATGATAGTCATGGCAATAACATCAGTAATATAAAATACTTATATTGGCCGTAGAGGCCTTATTCTGAGGAATTAGGGTTCCATGATTCGGGTGTCTCTAAGGGTTCTTAAAAAAAAGGTCGAAGACCGGGGCTTCAACTATGGTATTTACCGAATCTTGAAAGCAGGATTGGCAATGAATTATTCAGGCCGCTGTATGGGAGTTTCCGAAAACAGGGGACCCTAATATAGTACCCTAAAATGTGGATTCCTTATTATAAGAAACCCAACATACAGTACCCCCAATTTTTCCTTTACCACAAAACAGAACCTGGCTTAAGGCTTCTTTATTGAAGGCCCTATACGTTGTCTGTAAGGGGCGTTCAGGCTTGTATCATCGAAGCTCATGAGGTTCTGTATCCCTTTGAATATTCCTACGTACCAGAAGTCAAGACACCGTGAGGCCTGTATCATCGAATCCGGTTCTGTTTCCATACCAGAAGTCAAGACACTGTGGGGGGGGGGGCAAAGAGTCAGGGATCTTGGATGATGTTGGATCCCTTTGTGACTCCGGGAAAGACTTTGTTTCTTTTTTTACCGGTGCGATTACGAGTAGCAGGGCTTGGAAGATCCGTAGGAAAGTGCCGTAACAAAGCATATCTCTGCTCTCGTCCCCCCCAAAAACCCCGAACCTTCAACCCAACACCTACAGCCTCAACCCTACACTCCAAATCAATCCTGAACTTTACACCGCAACCCTAGGCCCCAAACCCCAAACCCCTAAACCTCTAACCTAAACCCTTAAACCGTAACACTCGGCCCCAAATCCCAAACCCTGAAGAAAGACCAGCCTCCATGATTGAGGTGCGCCTGTTGGGCTTTCGTTCTTCAGGGTCTGGGGCTATGAGTCTCCTTTACCCAATATCGCGAGAGGATCCAAAAAGGCAGATCCCTTAAAGGGGGTCCTATAGAGTACCCTTTAGTAGACTAGGCCCCAGTCCCTTAAAGCAGTTCCTATAAAGTACCCTTAAGGGATTCCTATAAAGTACCCTTTCGTAGTATGTGTATTAGGGTATCTACTTTTTAGATCCTCCAGGGGGTCTATGTAAAGGACGGGTCTGGCAGGGCGAGGTTGTGGTAGGCGCAGTCAGTCCGCTGCTCGGGAACAAGCCCCAGCAAGTCTCTCCAGACCTTCCATAATCCCTTAATTAAGGAATATCCCTTAAATTTCAGAAGGATCCTTAATATGGTTTAAGGTATATTCCTTACTTAAGGGATTTTGGAAGGTCTGGGTCCATCGCAAGCATCCGTGCTCTGCTCCGAAAACTTCTCGACATTCCTTCCCCTTCTTGCTCCTGTCATATCACAGCCACTTCTGGGCAACCTCGGCCTTGCTGAAGGCGTCCTCGTCTGCGAGCTCTGAGAGCTTTGGACCTTTGAGGATTGAGTCTCCAGGAGTCGCGGTGAAGTCCCAAGGGTATCCTCGACCATCATCCTCAAGGTCTTGAGTCTTTAGGCCGACGATGCCGGACCTATCCGAAAAGTTATCCCCAAACATGGTCACGTGGACCGGACATACCGGTCAAGGAACGAGGGTTCAATCAGGAAAGCTAAGCAAACCTGAAGAAGCAGAAAAAGGCTTGAGTATTGCAACAGCTATATGAACATAATTGTTACCCCAAGTTCTTCTAGGATTGATGGGTGCGGGATCTGTGGTTTACGGTTCATACCTTTCCCTTAAAGCATCGAGTTTGAGGGTGCAGAGGCAGAGCCCGTCCACCGTCATCAGCATTCTTTCCCCCAGGAAATGTAAACCCAAAGCCCTAACTAACCCCCTAAACCCTACCTCTTTCTCCCTCCCCCGAAACCTATACCTGAGGACCCGAAGCTGCACTGCCTAAGGTTTCGAATCCACAACTTGAAGACTTTGTTTGCTTTTAGGGTTAGGATGTAAACTGCAGGAGTTATTATATATTCAAGGGTTTAGGAGGTAAATAGACCGTCTAGAGCTTATAGATGTCCGAAGATACGAAGAGAGCTTGAAAGCCTGAAGGTTTCAGAGTTCTGCCTAGTCTAGAAGCCCCTTTAGCATCTTTGAATGAACGATGCAAGCAAAAGATCCCGTGCCAAGACCGGATGAAACCGTTTGAGAGCTCTCAAGGGAACCCGCAGACGAGTGGAACCCTGCAAAGCCTCAAAGGAACCTAGAGAATGCAGCACTTACTAGTAGCCAGCCGACACCACCCTGTACAGTAGAAGCCCAACAGTTGAAAACCCGATAGCTTCAATCCTTATAAGAGCAATGGGAAATCCCAGCACTAGTTGGTTTCCAACTTCATGGCGATTACTGTAACCCTAAACCGATAATTGCGCGGAACCTGCCTTTGCACGAGTCCCATACAACGACTCTCTGAAATTTAGAGCTTTACAGGAACCCCTGAGGAACCCTTCAAGGACGGCCTTAAAGGAACCCCTCAAAGTACCCTGAAAGGAACCCATGCAGCAAGCCACCTGAAGAGGAAGCCTAAAACGGAACCCCATTATGCAACCTGTAGTACCCTTACAGTCGGCCCTACCCTGCTACAGTACCCCCTCGTACCCTTTACAGGGAACCTAGACAGCCCTTGAAGGATCCCTTAAAGGAACCCCGAAAGGAACCCTGAAAGGATCCCTTTAAAGGATCCCCCAATGAGCCCCCCCCCACCTGAAGAGCCGGCCGTCGAAAGCTTCGTCTTGGATCTCCTGCGGAGGGAGGCAAGGGCGGAAGTTCCCCGACATGTCGGGGCTTCAAGGCTTAAGGGTTTAGGGCCTAAGGTTTAGAGTGGTCTTCTGGGTTTTAGGGTTTACGATGGGTTAAGGTTTAGAGTTGGCTTCTGGGTTTAGGGTTTGGCAGGGGTTTCAGGGTTTAGGGTTCTGCGTTTACGGTTTAGGGCACATGGTTTTTGGCGTTTAGGTGCCTGGGTTTAGGGCTTAGGAAGAACGGGTCGAGGGTTCAAGGCTTTTGGGTTGACGGCTCAGGGCCTGTATGGTGTTTGCGGTGTTTGGGCTTGCGAATCAAGCTGGCGAGTTCAGCCCTGGTCCGGACTTCGGAGTACGGTGCTCCAAACCCCAAAATCGAACCTGGGGCTTGCCACCAGGCGGGTAGTAAGCATGAGTTAAGGGCCCAACTGTGGCTTAATCACTTAGTTACTTCAAGTTTAGGCTTGCATAGCTAAGGTGTACTCTACCAGCAACAGAAGCTGCCCGGATCGAACTGTAATCTATGTTGGACTGCCTTTGCAAAGCTCGACTGACTTAGAGTCCGAAGACAAGGAGTAGCAGAAAGCAAAGGACCATTGGAGACTTCATTTCTACCACTCGGCTTGGGATAACGTGTTTGGGCAGCTGCTCAGCTACGGACACACCATGCTATACAGGGTACCTTACAAGTCGGGTGTGCTCGTCGAGCTTGGCTGTGCTGTACATGTACGTTAACTAGCGTGCAACTGTGTCCTACATGGTGGATGTTTTGGGGTGCATCAACTTCGTGATTCCCCGCATCGCCTCCAGCAATGCACCACGGTCCACCTTTCCTTTCGTCAGTCCGTCAGCCAGCATGTCCCTAGTATCAACCCACGATGTTATGCTGGGAACTCTGACCCTAGCGAAATCACGTAGCCATGCTATGTGTATGAATAGGGCCTTCTCCGCGGGTAACTTGGGGTACTTGGCTGACAGAGCGAAATAAAGATTCATGGCATCTATACACAGCTCCGAATCAAAAACGAAACTACCTGACTCTCTGAGCCCACGGGCAGCTTCAGTGCTCAGCGTGCCACAGACCATCTCTTGAAGAGTCACTAACAAAGCTGCCAGCGCATCCACAGCACCGACCGCAGCGAGAGTCTCAGCTGCGAAAGTGCTCCTCGTGACAAGCTTAAGGCTTTGAGAGTGAGCCTCCAAGAAATGGCAGCGCTTCTGTCCATTGAAGGTGCCCATGCGCAAGTACACTGCGCCGCGCATTCCGTATCCCTTTTGCTCACTTTCCTTGTTGAAAGAAGCATCGGAGAAAACAACGATTTTGCGGTCGCATGTCATGGTTGGAAAGTACAGTTTCGCTTTGAGTTTTTGAAGAGCAGCTAGCAACAAGTTAAGTCTTCTCACATGAAGGTTTGTGGGTGCAACTGCATGCCTTTGCAAGGCCACCACAAACACAGCGGCCCATGCTTGTGAAAGCATGCTGTATGCCACAGCACCTAGGAGACTCTGAAACAAACCGTGCACTGCAGGCGTGCACGGCAGGTTGCTGGCTCGGCCCGTCAGCTCTGGGTGCTGAATCGGCCGCATGGCTGCCAAATAAGCGTCCTGGTTCATTTCGATGCTACCATCGCTGTGTCTGACATGTGTCAGTCCACACACAGTAAAGGAGTTCTCTTGGTAGGCGAGCTTTCCGAATCCAGATTCAAGATGCGCCACTAACGCGTCTACTTCGCAGGGTTCCCCGGCGATCTTCAAGTCATCGACGTGCTTCACAAGAAGGAGCACGAGACGACTACCGACATGTTTTAACTCCAGTTCGGAGTCGAAAAGTGAAGGCCGAAGACCGATGGTTTCAGACCGCGTAAACTGGGCCAGCTTCAAAGCAAAAGCGCGGGGTGCGTCACGGCACCCGGTGCCGGGCTTCAAACACCTCAGCGTCTCCTTACGTGGGTCAAAACCCTCAAAACCTGGCACCTGCTTGAGGTATTCGGCTTCGCGGGTGGGTAAATCGAAATGCACTTCGTGCTCATCTTCTCCGGTGAGCTCGCTCATCTCCTGGTAGCTCATTCCTTGGAGAAAAGCCTTAGCTACGTCCACCGCAACAAGTTTCCAGCCGGAATGGCAGGCCACTTCAGAGCTGAGCAGCCGTTGGGACTGCCTGGAACCTGTCGCTGCGAAATTTTCTAGGCCTTCGCGCAAGTCTTTGAAACCTCGAAGTGCCAGCCTCATTCGCACGATCCTTTGAGGCTTGCCTTGTGCATCCTTGACTACCTTCCACTTAGCCACGAACTTACTATCCATGACATTGTGGGCCGTGCTGCGCGGCACGCGCTTGAAACATCTGTACTTGTTCCACGTGTGCAGCTCCTCCAGTGCTGCCGCTGCAACTAGTGGCTGGTGCCGGCGCATGTCCTCGGGGGTTAACAAGTCTGTTTCCCTTTGGATGACTGCCTGGCGGTAGCCTGCAGCATACATGCGTAGCACATAAGTTTGGTCAGGCTCAAGCCTACTGTCATCCCCTACAACCTTAGCCATATCCCGAGTGAACCACAACTCAACGCACTTATTGCCTGCTTGGTCCCTGTAGTCAAAAGATTCGTGCTCACTGAAGGCTACTTGGGCTGCATGATAGTGTGCATAAGGTTGGGGCATCGTTAGGGTGGAGGCATCAAAAGGCTCAAAGTAGGGGCCGTAGTCCAGCTCCTGAGCTACAGAGGCTTCCTCCAGAGTCTCGGACTCGGACAGGGCAAACATCACACGAAGCGCTTCTGCCACCTCAGGCGGTTGAGTTATACTCGTGGCCAGGAAGCTGGCAAAAGCCTCCTCTTCTTCTCTGCCCTCTGAGATGGCCGACAGCGGCCCTTGTGGAGTGTGCACGGACTGGTGTTCGGTGTCGCTGCCAGGAAGGGCGGGCTCGGACGCCAGCTCATGGTTCACATCAGCTGCCTCATCGCAGGCATCTGCCAGTGTGATTTCTTGGTCTGCAGAATGCAAGGCTTGTACCACTAGGCTAGAGGAGTAGCTATTCCCGAGTAGCTCTACTAGATCAACCTTAGTCCCCTGCAAACTGCTGAACTGGACGTCTTCATCGACACTTGCTCGCCACCAGATGAGGGTCGAGTGTGAGGCATGCGACACTGCACTGAGGCTTTTGGCTCCACGGGCCAACCGGGCGCCGAGAGTTTCGGCTAGCCGCCAGCAGTTGTTGAACAGAAAGTCCAATGCATGAAGAACCTGTGGAGCTTGGCGAGCGGCCTTGGACAGGGTAAGGCCGCCTGTCGGAGAGTTTGCAAAACCAAACAGTACCGACTGCCCGGGCAGCAAGGCCAACAAAGCATCGGTGACTGTTTGCATGCATTCGGGCCAAGCTGACGGCTGGTTAGCACTGTACAACACTAACAGCGTTAGGCGGACATCTTGGCTGCGATACGTGCGAGTGTGTCCGGCTGCCTGGACTTGCACTTGTCCTGGAACAGACTCAGTCACCCGGTACGGGCCCGACCAGCCTGATGCGTCCTTGCTGGACGGTTTACGAAACACGTCCACCAGGTCCCCAACACTGAACTCCCGCGTGCTGTCTGGAGAAGTGCGAGTGCGAGCCGCTCTGTTCAAGCGAGCCAAACTTGTTGCCTGCACCATTGCCTGAAGTGCGGCTTCACGAATGTAACTGCGCTGGCGATCACCAGCCTCCCCAACCTGTTCACTTTCAGCCATGTCTGGAATTTCAAGAGGTGGGAGCATGGCTGGCTGACGGCCATACACGGCTTGGTAAGGTGTGCTTCCCCCGACATGCACCAGGGCATTCCCGGCGAATATGGCCTCTGCAAGCAGTGAGGGGAAAGTGTACACAAGGCCCTCCCTCTCAAGCTGCTCCTCCATCACATGCAGCGTGGCACGCAGGATAGCTCCTCGGCGTTCTATGAATCGGGCGTGTTGTTGGGGAGCGCGCAGTTTCAGCTCAACGCCCTGTCGCTTCAGCCGACTGGCAACTGCTTCGCTCCACAACCCCGACTCACCGTCGGCAATGAGCTGCTGCATGGGGCCATGAATTGAGACCCAATTCGTACAAATGCTCTCATATATAGCCTCACCTTCCTTGTTTGGAATGGCACAACCTGCATGCCAGCGAGTTGCACGGCATATCAAGTGGCACACGATGAAGGTGCGATAGAAGAGCAAATCAAATTCCACCTGCTGGTTAAACTTGAAGCTAGAGGTGAGAGTATGCTGCGTGGAGGGGCCGGGTCTTTGCCATTTACGACACTCCTGGCAAGTGTTGATGATATCTGGCACATACTCCAGGATTCGCTGCGGCACACCTGCTGCTTTGAGTATCTGCTCGAGGGACTGCCTTGAAGCGTGCCAAAATCTGAGATGAAGCTTCCTGAGCTCGGTTCGGATGGCACGCTCATTTCCCACTCGCAGTACTCGCATGGAACGGCTGATGTCAAAACGGCTCCAGTCTGAGGGAACTTCTCCTCCTGCACCTGCATCCCGGTAAGTTCTGCGAACACGCGGCTCTTTGTCTGGCCCTCGAGCGCGTGGCATTGCAGGCGCCGCGTCGGGGTCCGAAGGCTGGTAGAACTCAGTGTCAACATCAGACGGCAGATCGTCTGAGCCTGAAGCTTTCGCTGCAGGTTGGCGTGAGGACTCAGCGGCTGCCTCCTCCTCCTCCTGCTGTCCCAGATCAGCACCTTGGGGCAGTTGTGCCTGCAGGTCTCGGGAAGGGTCATCAACGGCCTTGCGGGACGGAGGTCGGGGATGACGGCCACGCCTTGGGGCACCTTTACGCTCCTCGGCGATCACATGCCTGCAGTCGGGCCCCATAGTGTGGCTAGGGTGGCCGCGGGGCCTGTGAAAACGGCAGCCTTCACATGTCCAAGTCAGGCTTTCAGCATCGGGATATTTGCATTGGCCAGGGACGCGATTATGGCGGTCGTCATGTTTGCTTTGGCGACCACGGCAGCCTGGGCACTTACGCCACCATTCATCTCCAGGTTCCTCCGCAGGAGCGTCGCCGCTCTCCGCGTCGGGCCCAGCTGCTGTGGATGGATAAACTTGGGTGAGTTGTTCTGCGGCACAAAGCAGGGTGATGCCATCCATGACGCTAGTTGACAGTGTATTGCTCCACTCGCGAGGCTCCAGTATGGCCTGCGAATGCCATGGGTGTGCCACAAGCGGTCGGAGCAAGTATGCATGAGAGGCCCAGAACGTGTAGGAGGCGTGGCGGTCGGATACTTCGGCGCTGCAGTGATGCGATTTCTGAAGGAACTGCCACCAACCAGGGGAATGCCCAGGACAGCTTACCCAGGGCTGCTCACATAAGTAGTGTCTGGCTTGCCGTCGCTGCGCATTGGCGAGCTCCTCACATAAAGGCGTCAGTGGGTTGGGCCGAGTCGGGTGCCACGTTGGAAGCAGAATGCACAGTAAGGGGCGCGACGCAAGGGTATAGGACCTTAGGCCTAAACTTATGTCTTCACTATTGGTGTCTAGAAGAGTGACCATACTAAGGTACTTACCGGGTCCTATACGCCTGCGCACGTGCCATACTGCCTGTCTGTCATGGCCACCAGACAGAATGTTGACCTCGGAATCACCTGCCGGCCAAAGCCGGATAGTGTCCAACGCATGCTTCAGGCTCTCAGCCAGAAAGCAACACGCTGGTTGGGACGGCAGACCTTGGCGAGTTGGCGACCCCAGAAGCCAACAGGGTGGAAGGCTGTATGCATGTTGGTACATTACCCAATGCGCGGAGTGCACCGATTCTTCATCAGGCAAATAGGCCGACAAGCTAGCCAGGCTGGTTCCGCAGTCGTCGTGGTGGTCCTCCACGGTGACCTTTCGGGCCTTGGGCTTGAGGCCTTGAGCCTTCAAAGCTTTGAGATGCGCCTTTTGTTGCATGCGGGCTTCGGTCGGATATGCCGCCTCTACCCTGGTGCCTGTAACCTCGGGAGAACTCGACAAGTGGGAGTCTGGAGCTTGAGCCCGTCTCGATGCCAAGGCAGCATCGGACTCCTGACTTGGGACATATGTCCTTCTCACCGGTGCTGCAGAGGCTGAGGCACGGGAGTCAGCATCTCCCGGTTTGGAGGGCGCGAAACCGGGAATCACGGGTGTTGCGGAGGCTGCGGCAAGGGGGTCGAAATCTCCCGGTTTGGAGGCCGCGAAACCGGGAAAGTGGGCATGATCGGGACCTGGCGGCAGGAAGAACGGCATACCAGACGGCTCACCTGTCATCACTCGGGCAGGGGAGAGTCGGCGGGCTGCAGCGCAGCGCGCCGCTGAGCCGTGAACGTTGTCGGGTGTGCTCGGTCTGAGTTGCTGTGTGACCCACTGCTGGGCGACCCGTACCGCCACGTTGGCATGAATCTGAGCGCGAAGGCGCCGTTGATGTGGCTGTCGTTCCGAGACCCAGTCCAGCTTGTGCTGGTGCTGAGGCACAGCGCATGCACACGGGTGGCCTGAAAGGGGTTGCATAACGCTGGCCGCCACAAAACATGTTGAACTGGGCTCCGACTGGGAGACATCGACCTTAAATGACCAGGCACATAATCTATGATATGACTTGCGAACATGCCCCCTGTCAACGAGGTCTTGCACAGATGGCGCTTGCCATCCTCGACCGTAAGGTCCAAACAGCACCGCCGCAAGTCCAAGCTCGTGGCACAATCGGAGCCACACGCATAGTTGAGTCATGTGCGAGGATAGCCGATCCTTGTGCACGTGCCGGCCTGGTATTGGGAGATCTAGCCACAGTGCCTGCACTTGCATGCTTTTGAGGCGCTGGGACAGCGAGGCCGTGGCGGCCGAGTTGACGTGACTTGGATGGAAGTGCACAGTACGCCATCCGATCTGCTGCAACACCAGCGACACGGCAGGTGTTTCCTCTACCACAACAGCTACGACCTGCGAAACTCCACTTGTGACTTGATGCAACTGCTGGACGGGTTCTCCGACATGGTGCTCGACCTCATGTTGATGGGCGGGTTCGCCAGCAGGGCGCTCAACCGCATGGTGATGTTGGGCGGGTTCGCCAACAGGGCGCTCAACCGCATGGTGATGTGGGGCGGGTTCGCCAACAGGGCGCTCAACCGCATGGTGATGTTGGGCGGGTTCGCCAACAGGGCGCTCAACCGCTTGGTTGAAAGGAACACACGGAAAGTTGAGCTTTTGCAAGGCTCTCACAAAATGGGCCGGAATGTGTTCCAAGCCACGCGACGTGTATGCTGTGACCGAAAATCTGTGACCCTTCCACGGCAACACACAGTGGCTGAGCTTCGGACAGAAAGTGACAGGCTTATTGTGACTGTCAACCACTATGCCTGGGATGCGATTGCCGTCATCCTGAGTAAGCCAATGCACGGAAGGATTGTGGTTCGCCTCTTCGGGCGCTATTTCAAGCCACAACTCCCCACCGGTGAAAGCACCTAAGCTTATCGTCAAATTGACAGACTGCCGAAGATTGTGGTGGTCACGGTGGGGATGTACTGGCATGTTGTTGTTAATGTGGAGCGATGTCCACGTGACTCGCGGATGGCTCGCTTGCAAAAACAAGTTTACATAACGGCATAGTGATGCAAAACGATCTGTGTTCAACGTCAGGCCTACTTGATTGCCATGTGCATAGAGACCCAGTGTGAGCCGCTGGGAAGGGATGGCCTGCTGATTGACGCCACGCACTTGCTTACTAGCTGGAAAGGAAGTCTTCTGTAACAGTGTGAGGCACGTTGAGTGTGAAAAGTCCCGACGACTTATGGCCAACGTTGCCGCCCTTTGTACTTCGGATTCTTCACTTGCTGAGGAAATCACTCCTTGGACCGCTCGCGTGAGGCTGGATGCCTACCCCGCGATGCCCCTGCTTTTGACAGATGAACTGTCTCAGACAGGTCGGGGCCAGGTCCAGGGGAACTTGATGAAGCACTCGTGCTGTCTTCACGGCAGTTATGTGGAAGACCGTGTGCAAACACCTCTCGAGGCGTTTCCTTCAACGACGTACCTTTGGCAGATTGCCCGGCCATGAAAGCCTCCCTGGGCCTGTTCAAGGATGTCACCTTTACACCCTCGTACAAATCACACCTTAGCAACAAGTGCCCTGAGGGTGCTGTCGTCAGAGGATGCTCAACAGATCCTGGGCTAAGCTGGTACTCCCAGCCTCCGGGACCTGGGATGATTAGCTTTAGATCTTCATCCCTCTCGCTCAAGACGAGAATTGCATTCTTGGATCTCAGGGACCTGAGGCCAAGAAGGGCTGGTAATCCAGCACCGCTGCCTCCCACGACTGGTGCTTCGAAGGAACAGCGCGCATTGTGCTCCTCGCCTTCACAGATGGCCGGGACACCTATAGGCAATCGCACTGCCCATGTGCATTGCTGAGTGCCTTGACCGACTCCAGCGATGGACATGGGTGAGCTCAACTGATGCTGGACAACGTCGAGGCCTCGGTCGTGACATTTCTGCGCCAGCTGACGCACCCACCTCAAACCTGCAAGATTGGTGTATGCACCTGGGTCGATGAGGATGCTTTGGAAATCATCATGGCTAGTGCTATGCATGATCATCGCAGTGGGTGCACCATCGTTTCCGGAAGAATTACCGTTGCAAGGCCACCAAGGAAAACTATGGTGAGAATGGAAAGCTTCGAAGTTGTAGGGTGACCCTCCAGCCTCATTCTCCCCGTCATTGTTTGCCGGCGGTGGCGTGCTCATTTCGTAGGATTCTGGGCGGCGGTTTGGGGTTCTGGCACCAGCGCTCTCCGTTGCAGGATTACGGCTTTCCTCAGAGGGTGCTCGAGAAGGCTGCTCAGTGGGGTTGTGAGAAGGAGCGGGTGTCTCATAATCGGCTCGGTAAGAGAACCTGGCTACGACCCTAGCAGAACCCCGACATACTGGGCAGCTCATACGTGCCTGAGGATGCATAAGGTATTCGGTCCAACAAGCGGTGTGATACAGGTGCCGGCACACAAGTCGCACTACCGAATCTCGTTCCAAGTACACCTCCTGACACAAGGCACAGCTGTCATCCAGAGCATCGTACTCCTGATGGTCCCACGAATCCGGAACCTGAATCACGCGCCTATGCCGATTGCGGTGCTGAGCCCGTCTCGATTGGACAACCTGCTGTGCCTGATGGAAAACGTCTATCTGCTCACTTTGCGCACGCTCAAGCTGCGACTGAGTGCCGGATGTTAGAGCCTGCGTGATTTCCGGTGCTTCGCCCATCCATCTGCGCGTGGTGGCTGTTGAGGCTGCAGCCATTCCTTCAAGTGTGATGGTCATGGGGCCTTCCAGCGTGGACGTTCCTGAGGAACCTGTGCCTGGCGCTCCATACACCAGCGGAATATGCTCCGGGTCATGGTGTCGCGTGGGGCCTAAGAACCCAAAGATTGGCATCTGTGACCATGCCGGCAACGTGGGTGGGGGCACAGTCCAGACCATTGCAGTGGCAGGACCTGCCTGACCATCTTGTCCTAAACCGTAAGTAGGTCCGCTGGCAACACCCCCTTCTGCTTCCCCGATTGGAGTTTGGTGAGTTTGTCTTTGGCTGCTGTTCGGATTAGAGTACCCGGCACTGGGATGCTGACTATTTGGCATCTGCGATCCATTACCAGGATAGGTGGCGCTTGCTTGGGCGGTTCTGGCATGCAAGGGCTCTGGGGGAGTTGTGGGTCCTCGAGAACTTTGCGCATTGCTTTGGGGATGACTTCCGGGAGGGTTGAAGGCTCCACGACTTCTGAGATAGGTTGCCCAAGCGTCCGTGTCAGTGGCGTGGGACCAGGAACTGTCCGTGTCCCGAGCTGACTGATCAGCAGGGGCCGCCATGAAGATGAAACCTGCTAAGGGGCCTTGGTCGGGAATCTCATCGGGCTGGCCTGCAGTCGCATAGAAGTTAGGATTAGGGCCTTGGGTGGAGGATGCGGGAGCACGTTGTGGACCATCGGTGCGGGGCAGGCTGCACTCTCGACTTAAGTGAGTCTCGGATCCACAACGAAAACACCTCATACGCTGTCCGTCTTTTCCTATGGGATTCTGAGACCTGCCCTTGCCCTTACCGCTAGTGCGTTTGCCCTTGCCCTTCCCTTTGGCCCTTCTGGCTTTAAACCCTGCAAAAATCTGCTCAGCCTCGTCATCACTAAGACTTGCAAGAAAAGATGTAACATTTGGGCGACCCTTAGTCCACCTTTTGCCTTTGCCCTTGCCCGACTGGCGGCTGATGTATCGTCGAGTGAAGCGTCTCACCGACCGTTGAGGTCTTCCCATGAACTTCCTCCACGTGGCCTTCGCCCTGCTGTAAGCCCAGAACAGGTGCTCCTGCAACGAAGCATCGTCGGTCCATCCCTCCGGGGTGGATGTTGGTACCTCAGTCATGCCAGTAGACGATGCTGTGTCACTATCGGTGGCACCGTCCGACTCAAGCTCTGCAAGGAAAGCTTGATGAGCGTCCTGCCCATTATGGCTACCGGGGTTGGCGTAGTTATCACCCCCATAGCCCCAACCAGTGTCTGCACGTTCGCTCCAACCGTAACCCGTATCACCGTAGGCTACATAGGCTGGTTGTGCATCGGCATTTGAGGCACTGCCTTCGGTTGCGAAGTACTGGGGCTGGGCATTTCGACCTCGCAGGGCTGCAGCAATGTTTCCCGGGGAATGCTCAAGGATGTGGCCCATGCGACGCAACTGAGTTTTCAGGATTTGGAACTCTTGGTCATCGTTCGGAAAGCGCCCTTGTAAAGGGGACAGGAGTTGCATCAGTTGGGCATCGCTCACCTCGCAGGCCTTTAGCAAGATGTAAGCAAGGCCAGTCACTGACATTGTTAGCTGTCCTAGATCATAGGAACGCTGGCGAATGAGATCAAAGCGAGTAATCAGCTCATCAATGCGCTCATTTCCCTGACGACCAAAGTTGAAAAGATCAGTGATACTCGTCAAGCGTAGTTCCTCGCCTAGATCTGCAAACCGTTCTGCGAGGGCATGCATTATATAGGTTAGGGGGTCTACATGATGACCGTTTATGGCACCTCCGTGAACTAAGGTCATGGGGGGAATGGTTCTGCAGAACTCGTATGCTGTGCCCTTCAAACTCATGGTTAGAAGAGCTGCCTTCCTGGAAGGGTCTCCCTCGGCTGCGATCGACCACGTGAGCACATCCTGAGCCCAGTGGCGAAAAGGGTAACGATGCGACATGTCAGGTGACCAGGCAGGAGGCATCCTAGGCACAGCACTTCCGGGAATCATGTGCATGATGGCGGCTCCCCACGCAACGAGGATCATCAAGAAAACTAGGGCAGTTAAACCTTGTGAATGGCCTAAACCCTTAATGAAACCCGTTACAGTATTAAGGTGGGGTCGTTCCTCAGGGTTGGGGCTGGCTGCCGAGGCGGTCTCAGCATTTCCTGCGACTGGCACAGGGAAAGCGAGAATGCACATCAGTACAAACAAAGGACAAAGCGGAAGTAATGTCCTGCATATCGTCAATATCCGTCCCAACACCAAGAGGAGCACCTGAACCACGGAGAAGACAGTGAGAGTGGCCTGACTGCCAACACCTCTGTCTGGGCTCATGTTGCTCGCTCGCACTCGGGGAAACTGAAGACGACATCGCGTTGAGGTCTCGGCGGAATCGTTGGGCTCATGTACGGCGTCCAAATCCGGTTTGGCGCGTGCATCTGATTCGTCGTCGTACACGTACGCGCTCCACTCGCCAACCCAGTCCGGAAGTGTTGGCTTGCTGTCGCGGTCAATGTTGTAGGCGGAGTCATACCAAAAGGACACATGATACTGCGTGTCTGCACGCGAATTCCGAGGACCGTGGCCACAAAGATGGGAAGGAAAACTGACACCATAAGGCTTGCCCCATCCACACCACGATCGAAACTGAGCTGCACCACGTTGCAGCATGCGCCTGCGAAGGCGACTGGACGCCACCTCCCATCTTGGCCCTGGCAACGGAGCCGCAGCTCCGCTACCAAGTCCGAAGACAAGGAGTAGCAGAAAGCAAAGGACCATTGGAGACTTCATTTCTACCACTCGGCTTGGGATAACGTGTTTGGGCAGCTGCTCAGCTACGGACACACCATGCTATACAGGGTACCTTACAAGTCTTAGCGGCGGGATTCATTCCCTTTGCATTTAGGATGTGCGGCTCGTCGCCTCCATCATATGACACATTCCTGGGGAGGTTGAGAGGTGGAGGGCGGAGGAAGTGACAACTTAAGCTCTGTTGATGAAGTATGTGTTAACATTTCGCCCATCCGCTGCATACCCCATAGCCGGACAACCCCATCAAACAAAATAAAAAAGCACAAGGCCCAGTTGCTGACAGAGTCTGCTACTGTCTGTACATTACCCTAGTACAGCAACTCACCATACCGGCACCAACCAAGCCCGGTAGCCCCAAACTTCTTACCCACAAAAATTCTAAAGGCCCACGACATCCCAAGACCCTAAATTAGGCCCTAAACCTCTCGACCACCAAAATCTTAAAACCCCCAACCTTAACCCTGAAGAACCTACCTTTAGGCCTTTAGGGTTCCCTATTATGATTTCCTTATATAAGTCCTTAAAAATGTAAGTTTTTCAGGGTTAAGGAAAACCCTAGAAGACCCTGCTCGGAGCTTGAGGGTTATAGTTTAGAAGGGGCCCCCACCCTGTAATAGTGACCATAAGGATTATATAGGATTATATAGGATTATATTAGGGCCCTATTATAGTCCTATTATACCACTATTACAGGGTGGGGGCAGCTTCTAAGTTATAGTTGTAAATAGGGTTGAAAGTCCTCTCATGTGCTTTCTGATTCTGGTTGATTACCCCACTTATAAGCAGAATGTATAACTACCCATGAACCTCCAAGTATAGAACCCGAAACTGTATAAACCCTATAGAACCCCCTAAAGGAGCCTTATATACCTAACGCATGAACCTCCAAGCCACTGTCAAAAACCCACTAAGCCCTAAACCTTAACCCGTATAGATCCCTGAAAGGAGCCTTACTGATAATAATACCCTAAGCTTGCTATGCTGAATTTAGAACGCTAGCAAAAATTACAATTTTAGCTGTTTCTTAGGGAGTATAATAACCAAAAAATAAAAAATATTTCTAAGTACCCGTAAGCCTTAACCGTCTCCCCCAGCTCCTCCAAGGTGCGGCCCTTCGTCTCGGGAACCGTCACACGCGTGAGCAGCCAGGCGGCCTTAGGGGGCGCAACTTGGGACGTGGGGCTGCTGTTGTCTACTTGGAGGCTCATGGGTAGTTACAAGTAGGGGTCCTTTAAAGGGATCTATAGGGTTATAGGTTATAGGGTTTAGGGTTCATGAGTAGTTATAAGTAAGGCTATAAGTAGGGTAACTATACGTATAACCCATATTATGGGGACTTATAACCCCACGTATAACTACCCATGAACCTCCCAGTATAATGTAGGGGCCTTTAACAGTTCGAGTAGGGTCAGGGGTTCCTTAAAGGCTCTATCCATGCGCCTCCATATAGATCCGTTCAAGGAGCCTTACATAACTGACTTGGGACATGGGGGCTGCTGCAGTGTACTTGGAGGCTCATGGGTAGTTATAAGTAGGGATCCTTTAAAGGGTTTCAAAGGTTATGGGGTTTAGGGTTCATGAGAATGCAGGGGCTTAGGTACTGCCCCCATACAGTGAGAATCTATAATAGCGCTACTATCAAGGTCCGAATATATCGATATTGTGAATATTATTCAACTATTGCTGAGTGGGGGCCGGATTAGAGTAGGGTTTTTGAGGGGTTCCTTAAAGGGCTCTATAAGGGATCTAACTAGAATAGGGTTCTATGTGCTTTTGGATCTTGAAACCTGCAGGGGCCTTTAAAAATTAGAGTATAGGGGCCGGGGTTCCTTAAAGGCTCTGCCCAAGTGTGTATGCACCTCCAAATAGAGCCCTTATAAAGCCCGTATAGATCCCTTCAAGAAACCTTATACCCCCTAAACCCTAAACCCTAAAGCGTATGCCTTGCCCCATAAGGAGCCTTACATACCTGCCCCCTAAACCCTAAACCCGTTGCCCCATAAACTTCGGATCGATGGCCTGCGCGCTCAAGGCGTACATCGCCAAAACGGTGAAGTGACCCCTGGCCGGACGCTGAAATCTTGAGCCACGTGTTTTTCTAAGGAATTTTGGGCTTTAGGGGCTCAGGGTTTACGGTTTAGCGGTTTAGAGTCTAGGGGCTTAGGGTTAGGGTTCTAGGGGGGTTCGGGTTCAGGATTCGTGCTAGAACGATGTGCTTTCCTTCTTGCAGGTTAAGACAAAGCCACCTATAGAGGTCCTAGAATCCTGGACCCGTGGAAAGGTCCGGGGCCCAGCGCTCTCACATTCTATAATATACATGTGATCCCTGATATATTTCATATTATGTTCTACTAATATCACATCATCTTTATAGTCTGTTATACCGTATCGCATCACATAACAATATAGTTCGTATTAACTATTACAAGAACAGGTTGAGCCTTTCGGCTATGGTGAGACACAACAAGCGCTACCTACTCAATTGCGAAGATATTGGAGATTTCAGGCCCATGGAACCGTAAATATAAATCATAAAGAGCAAAACCCCTAAACTCCCAAAGCCCTAAATTTGAGGACCCTAAACTCGCCCCAAGCTCTCAACTTCTAAACTCCTATAAATCCCTCGTATATCCCTGGTAGAACCCAGATCGGACCCGCAAAGGAAACCCTGAACCCGAAGCCCGAAAACCCCTAAACCCTAAACCCTGAATATGTTGAGGGTCGCGGTGGTCGTTCCCCCAGGCACCTCGAGATCAGAAGCGGATGAAACCTGGGATGCAGATCTGGTATCCACATAATACAGGGGCCTTAATAATTCGAATCTGGTTCCTTCTTCTTTAGAGGGTCTTTAGGGGCTACTATCAGGCATCTATAAGAATACTTTTCGAAAAAGGACTTAATAATTATTCGGGCCCAACATGCTATATTTATAATCAAGAACAGCCAAAAAAGTATAGGTAGCTACAAGGCCCCTATATTATCCACTACACACTCTGGTTTGAGCGTTGCACAAGAGGGTGTAGGATTATAGCTCCAAGAAGATTTTGCCAATTGGGGCTAGGTCCCATGGTTGTATGGGTAGGGCGCAGAATGCAGGGCGCACAACCATGTATAAACCAAATATAGAGGCGTGGGGTACATTATACGTGCTAGCAACCGGAGCCCGGAGGAATTGCAATACATAAGTCTTCCGACCCCTACATTACCCGTTACCCCCGGAGACTTTGAGCCATCCAGAATCGCACATGCTGGCCCCTACTTTGCAGCCTTGAGAAACGAGGGGCCCCAACACGGACAGAGAAGCATGATTTAGATTCATGGTTCAGGGTTTCGGGTTTAGGGGTGTTACGGTTCAAGCTTTTTGAGGTTCTTCCTGCTGCCTAGCAGCTGCACCGACAGCAGCGTGAAGGTGGAAAAGGTGGCTGCGGCAATGGCGCAGCCGCGTGCTCGCATGTCAGACCTCGTGTGGCTGAGCCAGGTTGCAAGGTAACCAATCGGCTTCGAAGTAACCAGGAGGAAAAGTAGTGTAAACTTGTGTTTCGTAATGGTTTCTTTAAGGAGCAAGTCCCAACAAGTGGTCAAGCATGCTACTCCAGAACCATCGGCTTAAGGCGGTTAGGGTTTAGGGGGACCTGGTGAGTTTGGTTTAACCATGTTGCAAGGAAAGTATCGGGTTCTTACAAGGACGGTTCTGGCAGGTTCGTTTCGGGCTTGCGTGTTGGAGGCTGTCGAACATGAAGCGGACCTTGTTTGTTTTACAACCAGGATCCTTTTGTCTCGGGCCCATCTCCACCGAAAACCCGAAACCCGAAAGGGCATAGTGGGCTCACGTGTACGGCAGTAGCCGAACGAGGCCACATACCTACCTACCTGCTTACATACGTACATACATACATACACATTCATATATGTAGAGAGAGAGGGAGAGAGACTCCGTACACCCCTGCACATTCGCAGAAGCCGTCCAAGCTTTATAAGGAGACCGGGACCCAGTAGAAGAGCAGACACTTCTCCATCCAACAAAAAGAGACGCATAAGGACACCCACTTGACCGTTCTTAAAGTTGGGGTCCTTAAGACCCACTACAGAATCCTAATACAGGGGCCTTACTAGCCAGCAAAGAGCCACATATGATTAAGAGCCCTGAGAAATGGTCGTACTACTCATTATTGAAGCTTCTCCATTACAGCAAGGCAAGTAACACCCGAACTTAAATCCCTCAACCCCAAACCCCGTACATGCTGACAACAGGCCCAGCATTCCGACCAAACCCCGAATTCCTGATATCGGGACCTTCGTACTTTGAGTAGAGTCTTGGAGTATTGTCTGGCAGTTGTATTGTTACCAGTATATTGACGCAGGGACTATGCTGAAGATGAGTATTGACTGCGCAGACCTCTGTTGCACGGCCCAAACCCCGTCTCAGCTTCGTGCGGGTACATCTCAGAGGAGACGATCCACGTGACGGGGCCAACAGCCCCTTGGTAGATGGCCTGAAATGAAGCTTTGGGGATTAAGTACTTCGGCTCTGGAGTGTGGGTTCTTGGAGGCTCTTCTACGACGATGGCTCTACCTTCGCTGTGTTGCCTAACGGCGGTGCTACGAGAATTACAGCCAGGACTGAATTCCTCTCATATGGGGGTTTCCGAAAAGAGGGGACCCCAATCCAGTACCATAAATAGTAGGATCCTAATTGTAAGGACCCCGAAAGAAGGTCCCCTAAATTTTCGGAAACTTTCACATTGTCTCAACAAGATTCACAAAAAAGTTCCTGTCGAGCTCGTACCATGTCTGCATCGGAATGCTCGGTAGGCCTTTGGGTAAACGAGTCCCAGAGATAGGATTACGGGCTTCAGGCTTCGTAATTTGAAGCTTGACAGCTTCGGGGTTAAATCTTGGGTTGTGCCTTGCGTTGAAGCCTTCGTGGTACAAGACTTCAGGATGCACTGTTGGGGCTAAAAAATACAGTTTATCGCTTGAGCCCAAGACCTTGTACCAGGTCGATATTTCTGTTTTGTCTACCTTATGCCTGGCTGTGGAGAGAGTTAGCCAGGAAACAACTTCGAGCTCTTGCTTGGTGCTGCTAGGTTTGCATGGAGGCTAGAGTTACAGAGTCGAGCCGGGGCAGTGGGTCTTCTACGATTTAAAGTGAGGCTGGTTGAATTTAGAGACGTTGGGGAACCTTTGTGCTGACGCTGAGCCACTGTCTCAAAGTCAAAACAAGAGCCTCAAGAGGAACATAGCAAGAACTCAAGCGAGCATGTGAACAACAAATGTAAAGGCTGTCAACCTATTATCAGCAAACCTTGAGCTCTACCAAAGAACCCAAACTTGCAGATTTTTAGCAGCGGGAAAAGCAACTACGAACTATACGCAGTGCATACGACACTATTCCACACCATCAGCAACAACAATGCCATCATGTCTACATCAGCCGACGCTATCACACTAGCTATACTAGGACCGAGGAACCTACAAACATGCCAATCTGGCCAGGCCAGATACCTCGTCGCAACCCCAAGCCTCGAGTCATGAAGCCTTGATCGCTGAACTCAGCTCTACCCATGCCCCAAAGTAGTTCCTTTTTGGGATTACCTTATAGGATTCTATATATGAACCCCAAAAAAGGAACTACTTTGGGGCCTTAGGGTAAACCCGGACCTGAGCCCCATGAACTCGAAACCCGGGACCACAAAACCTAAGCCCCAAACTCTAAAAGCTGGTTTAGGGTTTTGGTTGAGGGTTTAGGGTTTAGGGGTTTAGGGTTTAGGGTAATCTGCAAACCATAAACCCTTAAGCCTCTAGAGCTCTTTTAGAACCCTGAAGCCCTCAACCCCCAAGGTCCGAAACCCGAAATTGAACCTAAGGCCCTGCAAAACCCTAAAGCCTTCATGGAATTCTTAAACAAGACACCCTAAACCCTCAACCCTAACAGAATCCTGAAACTAGGAAGCCTCCTACCCTTCCGTCGCGGCCTGTGAAGCCATCAAGCCGATCCCAGCAAGAGTGGGGCCTAGGGATCAGTTTAGGGATTCGGCGCTCTAGGGGTTTAGAGCTCAATGAAACTTTAGGGCTCTATAAACCTTTGGGGCTTTCGGGGCCTAGGGGGTTTAGGGAGTTTGGGTTTGAGAGTTTGGGCTTTTAGGGTTTAGGGTCTAGAGAAGTTTTTGGGGTTGATTGGCTTAGCGTTGGGGCTCATCTGAGGGTTCTATGGGGTTTTAGGACTTTCGGGGTGTAGGGATTGCCACACTCCTTCAAGAGGATGAGCTGAAAGATGCAGTTGAGCATATCATCAGCCTGGGATGCTTGGGTTGCCATCTCATCCACTTGGCTGCTCAAGTCGCTGAAAACTATCTCGGAGATTGCCTTGAACCTCACAATTGGGCCAGTTCCCGCTGACATCACGTCTGACGTCATCCGCTTCAAGCATTTCGTGTCCAGATCCTTCACCATCTTTGAGACGAGGTCTTTGTCGCTGCTGTTGATCACCTCCTTTACCTTATCAATCAGCTTGCACTTGTTGGCAAGTGGCGCCGAAACGGAGCACAAGCGAAGTGATGCGGTCCCTAAGCGTCTCGGCAGAGACCTTGCTGTGCTCTGACTTCCCACGCTTCGCCCTTCTCGCCAAGCCTCCGAGACAGACCACCTGGTCGCCATCCTTGCGCCCACCCGGATGCCCACACTCAAAGGGGAAAAGGAGGGCCCTTAATGGGGACCCTACCCTATAATGGGCTATATAATGGGTATATAATGGCTATAGTGAGGGTATTTACCTAGGGGTCCTTATTCAGGGTCCCTCCTTTTTCCCTTACACACACCCTTCACACAACAACAACCTATATAATCACAGCCCCCGCCAACGAAGAACAAATGGAACCCTATAGGTGGAAACAAGGTACGTATCTCCAATATGCCCAAGACCTACAGCCCTCCAGTACCAGACCCGCAAATCAAAATCAAGCCTGAAAACCCTAAACCACGTTACCAACAACCCCAAAAACCTAAACCCTTAAACACTCGCCAAGGAACTAAACCTCGAATCGCAAACCCGAATCCACTGCGACAATACTAAGCCCTAAACCATAAACGTTAAACAGCTACGCCACACGAGAAGAAAACACAAACCAAAACCATCGGAAACCCTAAACCTTAAGCCACTCGTTAAGAAAAGTAAAGTGCGAAGATTCCAAGGGCTTGAAACATCGAAATAAGCAGATGGAGGCCATATAATATGACGAGATAGGCCGAAACCGTGATGCTATTACGAACTAGTCACCCTGAATCCGAAACACCCACAAGCCTAATGCCCCTGAACCCTCAACCCTAGACACCAAAACCCCTAATCTTAAACCTCCAGGCCCGCAAGTTTGGATAAAACTGGGGCCCCCGGCTATGCAACCCGAGCCCCAGAGCCGCGACTCCGTAGCTCGCGGTGACCTGGGTTGGGGCCATCGGGTTTAGGGCTTAAGGGGTCGGTTAAGTGGTTTAGGGGTAGGCGCTGAGGGTTGAATTATTACCTCACATATCAAGGATGCCTAATTAAGAGACCGTAAGCACTAAACCCCAAACCGTTCCTTGTATCTTGGGGGATGGGGTTCAGGAGTTTCGGAATTGGGGTTCAGGAGTTTAGAGGTTCGAGTTTGAGGCTTTCGGGGCCAGGACCACCCAAGCATTCTTTAACAGATCACTTGTGGCGGTTAACGTTGAGACCGACCCCGGAGACTTGCTTTCCGAGCAACCCCGGAAAGTCCGTAGGAGAGGAGCACTCGCCGCCCAACAGAGTCGAGCCAGAGGAAGCTCGGAAAGGCCATGACCTTGCTGGCTTCAATATACGATACTCTGCCATATTATGTTACTATGCTGGATTATGTCATAGCACTTAACTCTAAGCTCTAGCATGCTCCAATGCAATATACTACATTGTAGTACGTTACAATACATGAAAGGTATGTTATAGTATATTAAAGGCTATAACACTAAAGAAACATAGTAAAATATGGTATGCTATAGCATATTGCGATATGTTATCGTATATATTGCTGCGCATTATATTTTCTGAGTTAAGGGTTCTCTACAGGTTCTGCCACGGTCTTGTAAGAGCCTCACGATGTGTCTGAGAGGGTTTGTACTTCGGGGTCTACATGGGCTTCATGAAATCATGTATCCGGTTTGCAGGTGGTTGGGGTGTTAGGGTTTTGGCGGTTTTGAAGCGCAGGGCTTGGGGTTTACCGGGTGAATGAACCTTGGATTGCAGCATGGGGATTTGGGAGGTTTGAGGATGTTTGAGGCAAACAGGGCTTAGGATGCGCAAGATCTGTACATGCAGGACAAAGCTTCTTTGTGGGAAGAACCCGCCGCAAGACATCAGTGTTTTAGGGCCTTGGGGTTGGGCTCCGCCAATGGGGATTGGCACGGAAGGCTTCAATCCAGGTTTGCAGTTTTGAAGTTTGAGGCAGGAGACGTTGTAAGTGACGGGAAATGTATCAACAGCACGTGGATACCTCAGCTTAAACCTTGGGAAAATCATAGGTTTTAATTCGTTTACGCCTGATTCGTGCTTTTTTCACGCTAAAACATAAAACAGCCACCTTGCGAACAAAACATCCTGAACCTGTGCCGGATGTACCGCAGTCCCGTCAACTCGCGAGCTCACGCCACCGGAAACTGGGCCGAGCACTAACTTCACGCCGTACCTCGGCAGAAGTGCGCTTCAAGTTTGCACCATCAGTTGGTTTGGAAAATGCGGCAGCGGACATGGTCTTCTTATTGGAGCTTAACCAACCCCCTTGCAAACAATCGCAACAACCCAGTTTGCTGCAAGCTTCTGTCGAGCTTTGTGATTTGGCTAATCCCAAACCGCCCTCACGAGCTGCCGAACCCGGCGACAGCCCGGTGCCGCAACACTGCAGACATTTCTTCGGCGACGTGTAAGAAGTTGCTGGAGGTTAACCACCTTGCCAAGCACAACCTACATCCCAATCGCCAATCGTTGCCAAGCCACATGCTGACGGCCAATGAGGCTGCGTCGGGGTAGCCGAATCCAACCATGTGAAACATCCTGAAACATCGAGCCAGAACGAAGATTTGAAGTATGTTGAATGCCTGCTTGCTGTACAGGGCAATGACTTCGATTCATTACACAAATGTCGGCAATTGCTCTTCTTCATGCGTTAGAGCATGTCCACAATCTACGAGCGTTCCATGTCATGCTGAAAGAGTTGCGGTTGCATAATTGGTGTTCCCATATTTTGGCTTTATGTGACGGGGGTTGCACGCTAACGGACTTAGTGGCATCCTTGAAAAGTACGAAAACGCTTGCACATTGCACGAAACATCTGCGACATCCAAGTCTCACAGCAGGATACCTGTGACAGCCATGTTGTTCCGGTTCATCCACAGCCTTCCCAATGGCACCCATATCGTTTATTTTAGCCAATGCATGATTTGCCCGGCACAACGAGATAGATAGAATAGGGTTCGTTGGCCGCGACCCCTCGAGGTTCCGTGATCTGCAACACTTGCATCTGTTCGAGGATGCCTTAGATACAGGAAACGCCCAGTGCTGTGCCTGTGCGGAGCAGTTCAAATCAAACATGTGCAGAGGGCAGAGAAATACGCGGGCAAGGGCATTGCTAGTTCAGTGTGGTGGTCGACTCAGTGGTCGACATTCAACCTGCAACAGTACGGCGGCAACAGCGAGCTTCATGATGCTGGCAGTACACTGTTGTGGTGAGGCCAGGGCCTGGCGCCCTCGGCGCCCAGGAGTTCGCTCCCATGTACATACAAAGTTTCCGGTGTTTGCTTTCGCTTCTGCGATCGCAGAAAAGGAACTACAGGAAAATAATTGCAGGGTGACGGCCAAGAGCACAAGCGTCGCTCTAATACCAGTAGTAGTACTAGGCATCGCAGTAGTAGCAGTACGAGTAGCAGTAGCAGGAGCAGTAGCAGCAGTAAAAGCAGTAGTAGTAGTTGTTGTTGCAGTAGTAGCAGTAGAGTACCCGTACAGGTACTGGTACTGGGACTAGAAGTCGTAGTAGCACACTAGCAGTAGCAAAAGCTTAGCCCAAGTAGCAGTAGCAGTAGCAGGAGAAAAGCAGGAGCAGGAGCCGATGCGGTAGCGAGTAGGAGTAGCAGTAGTGGTAGTAGTAGTAGCACCCAAAATATATAGCATTGGTAAAAAGATCCCTATATCACTTCTACCTACTGTAGGGCCTTACACGTTGTCCCAGGCTTTGCGGGTGGAACCTTGAACCATCAACCGATGCTTGGCAGCTACGCTAGCATCAACCACGAAGACATACCCGGAACATCCACCCACAGCAACCCTCCAGAACACTTTGTAAGCCCCTAGGCCAAGCTGCACCACCCCAAACCCCAAGAACCCTAATTTATCACTGAATCCTGAACCCTATACCTTGAACCTCAATTCCACCACACCCTCTTAAAGGCCTGCCACGCAAGTTCGGAGGGGGACCGTCTTGTATTTCCAGAAAGGCTCGGGTTCGCAGGGCCATGACAAACACTTGTGTGCGTTCTAACTTTGCCCGTACTTCGAAAACTCTGCATTGATCATCTTCTTCTTCTTCATAAACATCGTTGCCATCATCACCACCACCATCACCGTTCTCATCAGACACACCATCAAAACCAACAGCATCGTCCTGGTAATCGGTACCATCGTCACCATCATCATCGTCATGGTCGTCATCATCATTTTCATCTTCAGTTTCATTAGTACTTCCGTCATCACCACCACCATCATTTTCATCATCACCACCATCATTATAATGATCGTCATCGTCATCATCGTCACCATCATCATCATCATCACCGTGAGTATGATCATGCTGGTGCAGGTGGTCATGATGATGACGACGATGCAGATGATGAGTGCCCTGAGGACTGCTGAAGACTCATGATGTGATGATTGTGATGGTTCATTAGTGGCTTATAAGGATCCTACCATTTAGGGTACTCTATTAAGGTCCCTTATTTTCGCAAACTCCCATACTGAGCCCTCAACCCCAAACTTCACATGCCCCCGTTGGAGCTAGGGGGTTGTTGTTACCAACAGTTACCCCGGCGAACGTGAGCAACACAGTATAAAGTTTTGATAGTGTTACATCTTATATTGTTCAATTTATATACATCGTATGTTATTCAATAGGTTTTCATAGCGCCTTGCGGGTGCTTATGAGGGTTTGATTGATAACATGTGTTTGGGGTCTTACAGGGTTTGGGGGGGTTCTATGAGGTTCGTTTTATATAACGGCCTTCATGATCAAGACAACATGTAAATTGTAGCGAAAACCATGGTATAGAAACTTCAAGGTGATATTATGTCGGATTCTTCCGACCAAACTTAAACTCTCAACCCGAACTCTGCTACACTGCTAGACCGCGAACTGATTAAACCCTACACCCCAAGCCTGAACTCAAATTGCATCTAAACGTCCAAATCCCCGAATCACATTGTAAGTATCAAGTCCGGAAAGCCCTAAGCCTTAAACCGTAAATCCCGAACCCTGAACCCTGAAGCCAGAATCCCGAACCTAAACCCCAAACCATGAATCCCAACCCCCTCTTCCTCCCTCCCCCCAATCCCCCCAAAAAAAAATCGGATCTCTTGCTCACGCCGAGGCTCTGCCCCGCATAGTTCAAGAGAGCCTCCGAGCCTGTTCTTCGGGGGTTTCCGAATCTCAGTACCTTTGCCCATTCTCGAGGCCTGAATAAACAGAACAGGGTTTCCTTTCAAGAGGTCTATAAGGGTTACTAGAATTACTGATAGTATAGGGGCCTTAAATGAACCGAACAGGGTTCACTTAAACTGTTCTATAAGGGTTACTGTGCGAGATCGGAAAAAAGACTGTAGTCAGGGGCCTACATAATTAGAATGGGGTTTGGGAGTTCCTTTCAAGGGTACTTTAGAGTACTCTACAAGTGATCTGTAATAGGGTTCTATACTAGAAGGATTACTATAAGGGATCCATAAGGGAAGTGTTATATAATAGGGGCCTTGATCATTGAAACAGGGTTTGGATCTTCCACTATACTAATATATATAGTACGGAACCCAAAATAGCATTAGTAACTCTTTAAGACCCTCTAGTACGAAAACCTAAATGTTTTGTAGAGTCGATATACATTCTATATTAAGGTTCATAATGGGAGCCTGCAAAAACAGGGTAGTTTAAGTTAAGGCAAAAGGGCTCTTTAGGATTTAGGGATTAGGGTTTAGGGCTACAGGGCTCCGTAGAGCTTTCTACAAGGGTTTCTTTATATGTAATATGACGCTTCGATCAGGGTTTCTATAGGTTACATAGGGCTTCATGGGAGGATTCCAAGCGGGGGGATTACGGTTTAGGATCCGGGTTCGGGTTCAGGGAGTTTGCAGGTTTTGGCGAAGTAGCAACTACAGCTGGAACCTGGTAAGTCCAAGGACGATGCGCAAGACGACCGGGACCACCAGGACCACGAGGACCACAAGGACGACCAGGGACGATCAGGACTACCACTAGGGTTACCGTCATGTGCTGGCGAGATTGGAGTGGCCCCGCGATGTGATCACAACGGCAGTGCACTAGACTGTGGCGGGAGCAGGAGTCCCGTTACTGTCACGAACCCAACAAGGCACGAGACTGCTGCACGGGGACTGTGGAAACACGAAGACAAGGGGACAGACCAGAAAGCGCCAAGGAGAATCGTGGTTAGCCCGGAAGTTAGCCCTGCTAGGATCTGAGGTACCCCCTTCTGAAAGCAGTACCCTAAAAATCGCTCGCCATGTACTGACTTTCTGGATTTGGAGGAGGAG